GCAGTGAATGGAACTGGAAGCCAAACAAAACTGGTCTGGAAGTAAAGAAACAGACACGCCATACAACTGGACAATGATCAGATTTAGAGGTGGGTATCTCAAAATCCTTATGTAAGCGTACTTTTATACATTTGAAGATCATAATTAACGGGAATCCCTCTGAAATGGCGTTCTTGTAAGCTAAATCTCATATTATTTCACCAGATTCAGAAAATGACTATTAACACCTCAGAAAATGTTGATTTCCTGACAAGTTTTTAAAATAATGTTTTATGAGAGAAACGAATTCTATTAACAACACAAATCATATATTATTTTCTTCTATGATATTGCAACAATTGTAGTCGCAGCAGCAACATACAAACACTAAAACTTCTTACCGTTCTTGAGGTTTCTGACGGCCATTACAAGTTGTTGTCTTTCCCCTTCAACCTCTGCAAATCTCAGGCTTATCTCTGAATATCTCTCTTCCATTTCTTTCAACTCTCTCTCCATTGAACTGTTTTTGTTCTTACAATAAGCCAATTCATCAGATAGCTTTGTTAGATTCTCCTCTTTTTGCCCTTTTTCCTGTGACCTTGCTTCCATCCTGTTATTGTCGGGTTAGATCGTAATAAGTCAAATCTTCACAACTGAAAACAAAATGTCAATTTAGTTAGTTTTACTATATCCACATACCTTGCATCTAGGATTTTAGTCATGTCCTCTTCTTTTCTCCGTATATCGACCTTCAAGTTTGATACTTGTTTTCTCAGTTCTTCGTTCTCCATTTTTTCTTGGACAAAGCTGTTTTGTAATTCACTGTATTGTAGGCTTAGACCTTCTACTTCTTTCTTCAAATTCCTGAGTCTGGTCTCTTTTTCATCACTTGATGACCTACTGAGAGTTAACTCTTTCTGCATTGTCTTGGCTTCGTCTTTAGCCAAAGCGAATTTTCTCTCAAATTCATCTCTTTCTTTCCTCCAATCTTGTATTATCTTCTCGGTTTCAGTAGCTGCCGCATTTGATTCATCTCTCAGCTTTGTGAGCTTCAGGACCTCACCTTCAAGCATCTGGACTTTCATTGACAAAGCTTCGTTTTTCTCTTCCACGTGTTTCTTTTGTTCTTTATGTTGTGTAACCTCCTTATGTGCTTTCTCTTGCATTTGCTCTAGATTTTTGTTCTGCAGACGAAGGTCGTTTGCTTCAGCCAATGTTTTTGTTGTCAGATTCTCGTGCTCGCTCAGCTTTGATTCCATTTCTAGAGAAAGCCTCTTGCATTTTTCTTGAAGTCGCTCTGCTGCTATAGCGTTTTTCAATCTTGTCTTCCTAAGATTCTCCTCTGCTTTGATGGCTCTTTGCTCTTGCTCAGTTTTTTCCCGCATCATTGTGTCGAGATCTTCATCGAAAGCCCGTGCTTGGTCCTCCAGTTCTTTCTTTAACTCCTTGACCTGACTCTCGAGTTCGTTAACTATAATCAAGCATTCTGAGTACTCCAGTGATTGCTGCTTCATTTTACCTTCCAATCTCTCTATCTGAGATTCCAGTTCTTCTATAATATCCTTTGAATTCGAGAATTCATCTTCCGCTTTTGAGCACTCTTGCCGCTCTAACTTTAAAGATACATTTTTGTTTTCCTCCTTTAAGGACTCATATTCCTGAGTAAGTTCATTCAATAGAATCTCCTGTTCTTCGTTCTTTTTCCTGTAAGAGTCCAACTCCCATTCTAAATCTTCATTCTGTTGCTTTAGCGTATCTATCTCACTGTGTCCAGAATCCATTTCCTTATCCTCTTCAAGCTTCTTAGTCTCTTCTAACAAGCTCTTCAGAGAAGTTATCTCATTGTTTTTCTGCTCCAACATTTCATTGAGATCTCTCACAGCAAGAATCAAATTAGAGTTTGACTCTTGTGTCCTCTGCAACTGCAACTTAAGGTTACTCGTCAAATCCTTCTCACAAATCAGTTCATCTCTAATCTCTTCAATCATATTGCTTGAATCTTCGCTGATGGATCTCAATCTGCTTTCAGCATCAGCCTCATCTCTACTATTCTGCAACCTGAGCTTTTCACATTCTTCCAAAGCTCCATCTCTCTCACCCTTGAGACAGCTAACTTCCCTCGACAGTTCCTGTATCCGTTTGCTCTCCTTTATCGCCTGTTTTCTCAAAGACTGCTTTTCCAGCTCTGATAACTCTGATTGCCTCCTCAAAGCTTCCAACTCCATCTTGAGCTTCTCCATAGGGTCACTTGAAACAGTACCACCAGCACTTCCTCTTTGGAAACTGTTCTCGGGACTGTTTCTTGACTCGGTGTAACTTTCATCTGATGTTGAACTAGCTGACCAGTCTGTGTTTGATCTTCGATGCCCGTTTCTGGTTGCAGGAACTGAATTATGTCGTTGAGGTAAGCGTGCATTCCCATCCGAACCATCTATCCATCCCGATTCACCAATGGAATCAAAGGAACCTCCTAGACCGCCATTGTTAGCCGTGTTAATATCTAAGCTCCTTTCCTACAAAACGTTTCAAAATTACAAAAGATCGATAACTATCACAACTTTCTCAATAGACAAAAGTCACAAAGCAGTTTAACACTCTGAACCAAGAGAGCATTACATCTTGGTTATAGCCTTCTAAGTCATCATCATTGCTTTGTTGGCTTTTGAAGCTGTCCTCCTTGGCAAGTGTTTGATCCTTATTTTCCTCAATAAATCTGCAAAGTAGGGTCATTGGAAGAGTACTAAACAGAAAACATCGCAACAGCATCCGGGAAAATATCTACAAGAATTTGATATAGAAACTATTTACCTTAAATCACTGGCTCCTTGGATCTTCTCAATTGTCACCTGCACGCACCAAGAGACAAACATTTTCTTATACAATCTTAAAAGAACTGTTTTTGTTTTAACTTGTCATGCATTTCTCACATATCTCTTACTCAGGCTTTAAAAGGAGAAGAGAAGAGAGAGTACATTTAAAACAGCACCAGAGTTGGCAAATTTGAGAGGTAAGGAGACAGTCAATGGCTCTGCTTCTGTCAGAAAATCTGCAAAATCAATGGAAGCTTCTCCTAGAAAACCCGATTTCGAAGAACCCTGAAACAGAATTTTGCACCTCAAAAAAAGACTTTTTTTTTTCTCCAGAAGAACTCGAAACACATATAAGATTGTTGATCTCACTCACTGTTGCAACAACGAAATGGTAAATCTTCTCACGAATAATCCCAGTTTTTGGTTCCTTGATGAGCTTCACTGACACATAGATTGGATTCTCCCATGAACAGATCCCTTCTTTAACCTCAGCTTTCTCCAGCTTAAATGTCGGCTTCCCAACATCATCAGGAACCAATGAGATCATCAAAGCTGCTTTCTTCAGCTTTGGTACCTTCAATAAAGGTAGGTAACATTTTTTTCCTCATCAAAATCCCCAGATTTCACATTCACATTCAAACAAATCTTGAAACTTGGAGTAAGATTCAATGACAGATCTAGAACTATAGTGAACAACAAAAGAAAATTTAGATTATTGGGTTTGGAGATTTTAAGAGACAAAACACCTGAGTTGCCTGAAACTGAAGCTTGAACACAGCCTTGATCTTGTTCTTGTCGTTCCTCCATGACTTAAACATTGCTTTCTCGAAAGAAACCAACACTTTACAAAACCTTCACCCCAAAATTTCTCAGAAGATGATGTTTTCTGATTTTGTATCAGTTTCGAAAAGAATGTAGGAGAAAAACAAAACAAAACATAAAAACTTATTTACAGTCTGTGATCACTTTCCTTGTAGAATATAAAGGTTGATTAGCAGTACACAATTTTAATATAAAACTTGATTAGTGAGATATAAGTAGATTCCATCTAAAGCTTTTTTTTTTTTCTTACTGCTTTTATGGGTTGATTGAGTAGGAAATTAACTTTTTATTAGTTTAATATAGAATTGAAAAGTGCTTTCCTTTTTAATGCAGTAAGGCATATCATGTAGGTGTGTTTATGGGTCCTTATATTTAATAAGACACCCCAACCTCTCTCTTCTCTTTCTTGTGTGACTTCAAAAGTCTGAAGATTGTAATCAAAGTTGTATAATAATATAAAGAATCTTTGAATGGAAATTAGCTACCATTTTGGGTCAGGTGAAAGGGTATTTTAATAATTAAGATTTACTGTTTAATTCACGGATAAAACCAAAATTTTGAACATTAAAATTTAACCGTTACATTGGTGAGAGTAATAAAGAGGTTTAGTGGCAAATAAAAGTTTTTTTAAGTATATAAGTGAGACTTTTGTTTTTACTGTACCCATAATTAATGAATGAAAGGCATTGCACATTGCGACATTATTGATACTATTGGTGGCCCCAACGCCTTTATCTGCATGCCACATTCTGGTCATGATCCATCATGCATTATGTTATGTACATACAGCTGTCTACAC